CAGTTAATTCATATTCCCAAGAGAACAGCAAACAACTGAATTCTTTAAATCGATTTTTAATAAATATCCAATTAGAATGTCTCTCAGTTCTAATTCCTCCACCAGATACATTTCAATTTTCATCAGGATCCATCAATTCTCTGGGAAATTGGTGATGATGCAATATTTTAGAAAGTCGTGAAACATTCCGTGATCCAACATTTAATGGATTCTTTCTTGGCACATGTCCGAGAGTCTGGTGGAAATCCTCTCACTGTCCATCCAAGTACATATCCAACACGAGTCCCAGACGTTCCTCAGGTGAAAACATGACCTCCTCTTATTCGAGCTGTTTCTTTTTGAAAAGCCAGAACTCCACCACACGAAGAAACCGACTCACGCCTCTTGCACGCAGCCCGTTTACACATGACATCAGGTGAAGACAGAACAACCAACAGATCCAACAGAATTCTGTTAAAACTTCTTTTCTGTTTCACCGTCTGACTTCAAAGCTCAATATTTCTTCAATAAAAGACCAAGTTGCGTACGACTGAACGTTTCCCACGTGTTTCTCTTTAAGGAACGGTCTGAAATACGTTCACGTAATTAAACACACGTTTCAACACGACTCAAAGCCTTTGAGAACATCGAGAAGGAGACAGGATGAAAATATCCATTATTGGCTGCAGAACATTCCGCTCTTGAAATATTAGCATCAACTTTGCAGGATCCACACAGATTGAATAAAGATAGATAAGCTGTTGGTCATTATTATTAAAATACACTCGCTGAGCACTTTATTAGGAACACCTGTGCAGCTGCTCGTTCAATCGACCAATCACTGGGCAGCGGATCAGACAGGCGCTGCACTTAATGCTCACATCAAACCCCAGGAAACATGGGACCTGAGTGGTTCTGGCTGTGGGATGATTGTTGGTGCTGGTTTCTGAAACTGAGGATCTCCTGGGGTTTCCATGCACAACAGTCTCCAGAGGTTTTACTCAGAACTGTTAAGAAAAATAAAAAAAAAACCCATCCAGTGTGAGTATAAATCCTGCAGGAGGAAACGCCTTGTTGATGACAGAGGTCAGAGGAAAGTGGTCAGACTCTTTGGAGCTGAGAGAAAAGCTCTGGTAACTCAGAGAACCACGCTTTACAACTGTGGTGAGCAGAGAGGATCAGGACGAAGGAAACCTCGAGGTGGATGAGACCGTGTGGCTGAGATCTGAGCATCAGCCCACCGGGACTTCGGTATTTTGTCGAGCACCATCTTGGTTTGTTGAAACCAGAAGGAGGCAGTTACATGGCACCATCACACCTCAATGCACGCAGTGCTTTATCTTCTATCTTTAACGTCGTGTTGTATTAGAAAAAGACTTGAAACTACAGATCAAGACCAGAAACTCCAGAAAATATTCACTGATAAATCAAATGAGCCGCTTTGACAGGTTTCACACGTGACTTCACTTCGAGGGGCTGCACCAAACCTGGACGGCTGAAGTTTGGGCAAATACAATAATAAGATATCTGATCCAGAACCAGCCCTCATGCCAGAGTTTGAGAACCACCCTCTTCATTGATGTGTGTGTGTGTGAGTGAGAGAGAGAGAGAGTGAGCTTTATTCAGTATGTGCTGCTTTCTAATTAAAGCTGCTGCAGCCTGTCTGCACACTGCAGGATGAGGAGTCCTAATAAGGAGGAGATCACGGTGGACACACACACACACACACACACTGGTAATCCCATTCCCTCGCTGCCTCTCACCCCTGCGGTTCTGGCTGTGTACGTGTCCTAATGGCTTTGTTGTGCCGTCGAGTTCACTGGGCCGGTCAACGAGTCAGTCGGTTTGTCGGTCACTCAGTCAGCTGATTAACCTTTGACCTCCTCGGCCAGAAAGGCTCCCATTGCAACTAAAAGACGCCGCGGATGAACAAACTGTGTCGCGTGCTCGATCGGATATCATTTTATCAAGTTAGGGACAATTAATGGGTAAATAAAATCAAGTTATTCTCCTCATAGAGACGTGACTGATTCTAGCTGACATTTAAACCGGTGGAGAGTTACTGCAGGTAACTGAGGTTAAAAAAAGATGAGACCATTTCTCAGAACGCAGCGAGCTGCTGAGTGAACCACAGTTTTTCTACACTTCTCTAATTTCCCGCCAAGTTGTGCAGAGGAAGTTAAACGAAAATGTACTTTGACCTCAAATACAATGAAATTCACAATGTTCAGTTCACTGTAAGAATATGAGCTTTGGCCTCAAACAACTGGGACATTAAAAAAATATATATATTTAATGCAAACTGTGTTTTGCTGTGTTTTCTTCAGCTGCCGATATACACGACTTGAAAAACACACACAGACGAGCTTTCATAAGCAGAACGGTTTCAAACGCTCAACTGCAGAACAACAACTGTGATACTGGAGGGTTTGGCAAAACCATGAGTTATGATCAGAATCATTTCTTTCTGAAATACATATCTGTGTATGGAAAGTACAGTGTTGTGAAGGCTACAGGAAACGATTGTGGTCATCGCGGTGTAAAAACAACATTAATTGCAGGTCTTATGCATCAAACTCCAGTGTGCCAGTCGTCTTTCCACTTCCCAGAATGCTTCACCCTCACTTTCCAACTCAACACTAATTCTCGGATCAGCATGTTTGATTTGACGACTTTATTTGTCGGTTAGAGGAAGAAAAAAAAAAAAGCAACAACATACAACATCCAGAGAGCAAACGAAACAATAAAGCGTTGAAATGAATAGATCGACCACTGACACGCTCTCTTTGTCCAGAATCTGTTCTGGGAAAATGTTCTTTCCGTTCAGGACAGATGTTGGTATCAGATCTGAGACGCTCCTTTTACTTTGTTCACCATCGATTCTGGAATATCAGATTCCATGTGTGTGTGTGTGGCCTACAGGGATTTAAGTGGGTTCTACCAAGAACTGTGGCTAATTTAAGAAACACAGTAAGTCTAGATGTTTCTGGAAGGTTAACTCACACAAATGACATGCTGGAGAGTTATGTAACCGAGCAGTTAGTCAGAATTGAAACCGGTGAGTCTCTCAGCCAGACAGCAGGTTTGGTATTCAGGGCTGAATCCAGGCCAGTCAGTCAGTCAGTCTGCCAGTCGGCCTGTAGGTGGCACATTAACCCACTTCTCCACTGATGCTGCTCTTTGTCTGTTTTCGCTGCTGTTACAAAATGTTCTTTCCTGCTCTGCTGCTGTGATCCGCCCCACATCAGCTGCTCCACACTTCAGACTCCACACTCCAAAAGTGGAACAGCACATTTCCCTGGTTGTTTTTTTTTTTTAAACCCAGCGGAGCTCAGTGGGGGGGGTGAATGCTGCATTGTGCCTTTGTGTGTGCAAATGTGCATGTGTCGAAGAAAAACGACAAACAAAGCATGTAGGTGACAGACTTCAGGTGACAGATTATTACTGAGAGAGCAGAACGCGTCATGCATCAATCACAATGATCCACAGTAACACAGAAGGTGTTTATTTACATGCACGAGGACACACGGGCTTGTGCTGCAGCTTCATACACCTTATATCACATTTAGACCAAACGTCACTTCACCAGACAGCAGCACGTCTCAGTATTATATTATTATTATTATTATTATTATTGCAACGATCGATTTAAAAAATAAAATCATTATTTATTACAAACTGTGTGGATTGTGTCTCTGGATACATGTGTAAACCACCAGATGATCGAGTGACCCTCTCATGTTAAATATCAAATGCAATATTAGAGGTGAGGGTGTGTATTTAAAGAGCTGGATGAGTGTGTGCGTGTGTTTGTGTGTGTGTGTGTATGTGTGTGCATGTGCGTGTGTGCGCAAGATCCCACCCCCCGTTACAGGATCCTTGAGCTGATGAGAACTCACGTGACTCGCGCTCTGATTGGCCGGTGCGTCTGCACGTGTACCGGCGTCTCCCCGTCCGTTATGTAACGTGATGTGTTCAAGAGCAGCGACGTGGGGTGTATGTGTGTGTGTGCGTGTGTGTGTGCGTGTGTGTGTGTGTAGACTGCGGTATTTGAGTGGGACTTCTATGGAGTTCATTCATCCCAGTGGACAAACTCTATTTTGTGTCTAAATCCTAATTTTTTTCTATTCATTGCTTATTTTAATGTGACCTGTCGTTCAACAGGGTTGTTATATATGTTTTTTTACAGTTGTGGTTTATAAAGAGCATTTGAGTGAAGGAGACACAATTCAGTTAATCAGCAAATTAAAAATAAATACACTTTAAAGTAAAAATGATTTTTTTTTTTTACATGTGCATACAGAAAGAGGATCCTATAGAACTGTACGAAAACTTTGCATAGGAAGAAAATAAGTGCAAATAAAAGGTAAACTGCACAGTATCTTTTTACTGCATAAAAAAACAATACAAATGTACATAAGTTAGAGGATCCTGCACAACTGTAAATCAAAAGTATATATTTCAAGTGTAAGACAAAAGAATAGACAGAAATGATTTGCACATAGGTTGTGCGTGTACAACAGCTAATGAAGTACATAAAAACAAAGGTTACAGCAGCTTGTACTACTGAGTTGTAGTAGTAGTAGTAGTAGTAGTAGTGGGGGGTGGAGCTGGGGTGGATGGACGGGTGGTGAAATCCTCCTGCAACAGTTTCCAACGTGGCTGTGCACGTCTGTCCCTCCGCCACATTCCTACAGTTAAAGGTAAAGAGGAGACGGGTGCACCGTGCACGGTCCCTGCCGTCAACATGCCTCAGAAACCCCCCCGCACACACTCACTGCACTGTAACCGCCACATCCCTCGGTCAGCACTGACTAACTTCACTTTCTCCGCCACGAGTCGCTCGTGTAGTTTAACGGGGATTCTGGACCCTGAACGCACCGCTCTGCGTTTGTCCCCCTTCGTGAATACGTCTTCTAAGTGATGAGCCGTAAACAGTCTGCGCTCTTTGCGCTCGTTACGTAGAGTTCGTAAGAGGAGACAGACAGGCGGACAGACAGACGGACAGACAGACAGGCAGTAAGACACCCGGCTTCTCTCCCCGGTCCACGTGTGTTTCTGTCCTAACTTTTGCCGCCACCATTTTCCTAGAATTCCCGTCTGGGCGGTATCCCTCCGCACATAGACCCGGACTTCACCGCGGGATTACCGTGAATCCACCCTTCCCGTTTTTTTTCCGCGAGGACTCGATCGACACATCGACCGGCGCGGACTTTATCAGCCGTGGGTTTGATTCCCGTCGACCGCCCGCGGTGGGTTTTGGCGTTTTGGCGCGATTACGCCGCGGAAGGACACGGCGGTTCTCGGTGGGCGTATAAAGCGTGCGCCGCCGCCGGGCCACACCCACTGTGTCTGACCGGAGCGGCCGAACGAGCGATGTTACCCCGCAACGACTCCACTCTCTCACGCAACGAAACGACCTCCCGCACCGCCCGGTAGCTTTCTGTGGACTTTACCGGAGCTCCCGTGGTTTCCCGGTGGTTTTCACTTCTTCCCCCCCCCGCACGGACAGTTGGAGGTGAGGCGGCCCGCGTGCAAACCCAGTGTCTGCTAAGTTAAACATGTGCGTCACCTCCCGGGCAGATGTTAAAAACTGTGTTGTCTGCGTGTGTTTGTTGTTGGTCCGTTGTGTGTCTGCGGCTCGTGTCGTTTTTAAAAACGGTGCATTGTGGAGAGCGGGCCGGTTTCACGTGGGGACCCGGCGTGTCTCAACCCACGCCGGGTTTAAATGACCCCTGCAGAGGGTTCAACACTCAGAGTCTGGAGCTTTGACATTGATTTTCACTTTGGGTTTTTTTTTCCTTGCGGAATCAAGCGGCCACTCTCTGAATGTCTTATTTTAATATTCATCTGTTTAAGGAGTGAGTCGTTTAATTTTTTTGCTCAGATTCGATGCAGCTGCTCAACGAGGTCTGGTTTACGCACATGCGGGCAATGCAGCCTGACGGCGCCTGTAGCGCTGAGGCGGACCTGCGTTCAGAACCTCGTCCAGAAAATGATGTTTTCTCATTTCCACCACATCCAGACGTTCGTTTCCTTCCAGCTGTGCTCAGTCACCGCCGGTGTCAGTCGAAGCCTCGCGTCCGGCTGCGTGAAACAGTCGCTCAGTGTTGAGGTAGTGGGGGGAGATGTCATTATAAAAACACTTGTTAATTACCTAATTTTGCTGGTGTGTATTTAAGTTTTGGCTCAGGTTACCCAGGCAGTGATGGCACACACACACACACTCACACACACTCACACACTCACACACACACACTGCTGCTTTGTTCTCCTGCTATACAGCCACATACCACTGCACCCCATAGGAACAGTGAGGGGATTTTCCCCTCATCGTTAAACACGTGGACTCTGTCTCCTCCACCAGCAGCTGTGGATTTAAGCATGAATTATATATATATTTTTTTTTATTGTGTTTTGTGAAGTAAACTTTTGACTGATTTGTTAAAAGCTGCAGAAATCCTGCATGTCCCAAATATGAGCTACACATCGTGAATAATGACTTTTAAATTGTAATGTGTGTGTTGAGTGGATTTAGTTTATTTAGTGGAAAGTGAGTGTGTGTGTGTGTGTGTGTGTGTGTTACCTGCAGTGTGAGCTGCTCGGTCATATGTGTGAGAGTGTGAATCAACACCAGAGCTATTATAAAAGGAGGAAGACAGTGCCCCCCCCCCCAAATCCTTTGCTCCTTTCTTTGACACTGTAGTTTTCCTGTCAGCACGCAGCCCTGCTCCTCCTGCGGGTGTTTCCTCTTAACTGTGAGAAGGAGAACATGTGCATCGTGGAACGGAGGTGCAAAGTGTGTGTGTGTGTGTGTAGCCCCGTCTCCCCCTCAGCTGTGCTCCTGTGACGTCACGGGCAGGGAGGTGATATGTGAGCCTCCTCCCGCGGAGCCCGTGGGGGCGGGGACACTGATGTAAACACAGTTAAATGGGGGCTCAGTGCCTGTTGGGTCTCATTGTGGAGGAACTGCCTCAAACTACTACACGTGCTGCTGCTGCTGTGATTAACCCCCTCGCACTGTGAGGGGTCTGTTGAACTCCTCTGGATTTAAACTCTACAGCTGCTCTACCTCTCTGATTTTATTTTTCCTGTTTTTTTTATATTATTATTATTATTTTTCCAGATTCTGCCAACATGTTGCAAAGCTTCGCTCAGTCGCAGGATTGGCTTTACTCAGAGCCGCTGCTCTTTGACGACGAGTTCTGCCAGAGTTTGATGAAGGACCTCCAGTTTCTGCCGACTCCCCCCCAGTCCCCTCCCATGAAGGCCGGAGCGGGCAGCAGCAAGCCCCTGTCCAAGGAGGACCAGCTGAGCTATGTGTCGGACATCCTGCTGGAGGACCACGACATGCAGCACAACTGGAACTGCGACTTCTTCCACTCTGATGCTGCAGAGAAGGAGGGCGAGCCCAGCCAGCCCTGCTCCCCTCTGGAGGAGAGCAACGAGGACTGCCTGTGGCAGTGCCTGGCAGCAGACAAGAGCCTGCTGGGCTCCAGCCCCCTGCTGTCTGACATCGACACCAGCATCTTTGAGGAGATAGCTGGCTCCACACTGGACTGCCAGAACCTGATGGACACTCAGGAGCCCAGCGAATCCACATCGGACTACGGATCAACTGGTGGCGAGCTGTCTGTGTATTCATCCAGTGACTCTGGTGAGTTCAGAACTTCTCCTCTTTGCACTTGTACTTCTACTCAGCTGGAAGTGTAGTCTGGGTGTTTGATGTATCGGTTGTACTTCAGTGATGCACTTGGGATCCGATTTTTAAGCAAAATGATAAATTTTCTTTAAATTCATTTTTTATTAATGTTTCAGTGCTGAAAGTCGGATCAGACTTTAATCTCACTCCTGCCTCCTCAGTGTGCATCTTATCAGTATAAACAGACCTCGCCCAGAACAACACCACATGCATTTCATTGATAAATCACTGTTAATGTTTAGTGGCACTAAGCCCAAGTTGTTCTTTGCTCTCGGCTTATCTGGACTCAGAACGCCCACCTGTAATCTGCAGGAGCCTTTGTGACTCGAGGATGCTGTCGGAGTGTGGGCAGGGTTTAGGCTGTTGACTGACACCGGTAGATGAGAGGTTTTAGAAGAGATAATTGACTGAGGGGCGTGTGTGAGTGACTCATGTGCAGCGGGTAACAGTGTTGTGGCTTCGTCCATTAACTTCCTAATGAGTCATCTTTATCGACGCAGCCCTGTGGCATTCTTGGCAATAAATCAGAGAGGAAGTGGCAAAGCGGCATTTGTTGAAATCTCTTATGACTCATTTTCAATATTTATTACATATAAACAATGTCCTTTTTTCTGGATGCATGTTTTTTTTATTATACTCATTCATTTCATAATTAAATAAACAGGCTTTTGTGTTTTCCTGCTTTAATTTAGCTGGAAACACTGAAACTGTAACTAGTGTTTATACCCTGAACTGTTGCTGTAATCTAGAGTCGCCTCACAAACGATTATGTGTGTTTACAGTAGAAAGGTATATTTACACAGCAGCTATACACTGAACCAGTCCCTCATGTTGGGTTGTGTAAAGTGTCTACACTCTTGTTTTGGTGTTAGTGCGTCTGGAATGTCGTCATACCATCACAGAACAGATTTACCACACAATGCCAGAAAACTCACCTGAACCCAATTTCTCTTATCGCCCCCCCCAACAGAAGAAGAGATTGATGTGGTGACGGTCGTCCGCTGTTCCTCCAGCCCCTCCCCTCTGCCCCCATTGGCGGATCTATCTACCCGCCAGCAGAAACACGAAGAGGAGAAACGGGCTCTTCAACGCCACCACATCGAGATCCAGCTGCAACACAACTACGCTGCACCCTGCCCTGCCTCACCGCCACCATCCTCTTCGTCCAACAAGCGCTCGAGAGGGAGCGAGAGCTCTTCGCGCTTCCACCATTCTTCTCGTAGCTCTTCCTCATCGTCGTCCTCGTCGCGGTACCAGCACCACCACTCGCCCAGGAACTCAACGGAGACGGAGGACGAGGAGGAGCGGCGACGGACTCACAATGTGATGGAGAGGCAGCGGCGCAACGAGCTTAAGAACTGCTTCATGCGCCTGCGCGACAACGTGCCGGAGCTGTCGCACAATGACAAGGCCTCCAAGGTGGTGATCCTGAAGAAGGCCAGAGACTGTATCTACAACCTGGAGGACCAGTGTCACAGACTGCAATCCAAGAGGGACAAACTGAGAGACAAACAGGAAGAGCTGAAAGCCAGGCTGGAAAAGCTCCACAGCTAATGGACCACGCAAACCACCATTTACAGACATTGTGTGTGTGGGGAGGGGGGGGGAGGGGAACAGACTTTGTACAAAGACAGGGGGATGGGCGGCGGTAAAAGGATGGCGTGTCATGCTGAAAACAGCGCACAAAGTTTGACATTTCAAATACTTTATGGCAGCAGCGGGTCTGGACTGAGTGGACCCACTGCAGCCGCGGACAGACACAACACACTCATTGCCTCAGAGTTGATCATTCTCATGCCTTGACTGCTGACTGTTGTAGAGCGTAGGATCGTTTTCATTTTAAAGTCCAAACGAGGACAGAGCAAGCAGATATTTTATTTTTTTAAGTGTGGCTGGACGCACACCGAAAGGCAAAGACAAATTTTGTAATTGTTTCCGTATGTTGTGGAGTTTTTTTTGTGTTTTTTTTTTTTAACTTTGGCAGGTGTAAGATGGCACACGTGATAAGTGTCTGTTGGGTCAAATAACTGGAAGCCACAGCAGCTGAGTAGTCGAATGAAACTTGAATATTGTGTTTTCAGGATGTCTTATAGCCATACTAACCAGTGATCCCTCCACTCTGACCAGTGTGTGTTGGTGGCTCTGAAGTTATTTGGTCGAACGTCACTTCCACTTAAATTCCAGTTCTTGTGCTGATTCAATTTTCCCGTTCAGGACGAAGGTTGTTCAGTGTGCGTTCAGCCCTGTCTGGCCTCAGGCGGACCCTTGGGCCCAACACCACTCTGTTATCAGGTTAATGTGTGTTAATGACTATACTGTATTGACCAGGTTTGATACTGTACACTTAACAATGCACAGCATCGGTTCAGTTCACCGACAGTTCCCCCGCCTCAGAGTGTTTGTTTGTGTGTGTGTGTGTGTGTGTGTGTGTTCTCTCAGAATGGAAAGTAGTTTTTGTATTTAAGTGTCAATAATGAGTTGTTCAGACTTGGACTTAGCCATATTTAAACTTCATTCAGGTTTAGAGGCTGCTGAGCTGGAACGTGAACTGAACCGCGAGCCGTGCTGTCGTAGCAAATTAGCCAAAGCCGGGACAGAAAACCTCTGGATAACATTTGATTCGTGCACGTCTCACAGTGTCGTGTCGTATTATTTAATGGTTCTGATTGGAGGAAGCTGCAGCAGCGGCAATACTGTGACATTAAGTTGTGTAGCGTAGCCATTTTGCCAAGTGTAAGTTAATAAAAACCGTCAAGAGTTTTTAAAATTAGACAACCATTATCCAGTGGAAGTAGCTCCAATGTTCTTGCGACTCAGTCGGTGGCCCTCGTGGATGAAACCTGTTGGAAATTAAAATATTCTGATCGTGTCTCCATCCTTGATCATGAAATATCAAGGTTTACAGTCACATAGATTTTCTGTCCACTGCGAGATCTCATTTGAACCCTGTGTTACATTAGCAGGGTCCACTGACTTTGACCAACATTCCCCGGTTGTAAAAATAAATAAATAAATAAATGGACGACCTCCAACGGCGCCACTTTGCGCACAGTCGAAAACGGTTTGATCACAGGTTAACCAAACTGCTGCTAGCAGTAATGATGTCAGGAGGTAAAAACATTAAAATTAAGGCTGTACGTGTTCAACAGGAAGCTGTTGTAACTCGTGCTATGGGCTGAATCTGAAGTTTGACATTTTCAATAATGGGGTTGAATATTTAACGGAATGCCATTTTATTCTGAATATCTGTTAGTTGCCAATGTTATCAATGAACGTGCTGTTTTGTAATGAAATGCGCAGATGGCAAAGTGTTTGCTCATTTGTGTCAAATGTCTTAAGGTGCATCCTGTTTTTAAGAATAGAGTTCTTCCTCCCAGCTCGGTAGGAATAATGAGAAAAGAGGGCGTTCGTTCAGGACTCTTTGTTTCTGTGATTTGATTCTGTCGCTGTCTGGTTAAAACTTTGTCTTCCTCCACCTCATGTCTTCGCCTTCTTGGCCATTTCTTCCAAACGTCTTCAATCCTCTTTCAAAAAGTCGTCCTGTGACGATAATTGCCTTCTGAAGAAGAGTCAAGGTTTTAACGAGACAGCAGATATATTTTTTTTCTTAGCGTCTATAAACCTACCTCCACCTGGCTGCAGTCTGGCCTGTAATGTGGTTTTTTTGTGGTTTAAATATTGTACAGATTTTGTGAAATAAAACTATTTTATGTAAATATTTTTGTTGTATCATAAATTATTTTGGTTTATTTTCCCTTTTTATTTGGACTTTGAGGATCCTATAAGAAATGTTATGTTCTTTACAAAGCAGCACTTTTTAAAAATGCAATTAAAGAATGAATTGAGAGTTCAACATCTGTCTGGTTTATTACAAGCACACGAGCACAAAGTGGTTTAGAGTCACGTACAGATTCCATTTAAAGAAAGAAAAGCAGAGAAATCACAGCTTTATATCTTTATACATTATATGTTATACTTTATGCTCGTAATTGTACAAACTAAAAAATATAATGCATGTAATTTATGTGACGCTAACGATTCTCGAAGACATTTAGCCATCAGGCTTTGTTAATCTGGTAAAGTGGATGTTCCAGACATCCCTCTCTTCAGCTCGTCCTGAATTTTGGGCTTCAGTGTCTTGCCCAAGAAAACGAAATCGAACCACCGACCATCTGATTAGTGGACGACCAACTCAATCTGAGCCAAACGATGTTTAAATGAAGTAGATGAACAATTATGTCAGACAGATTATTGATTATTGCCTCTGTATCACCTCACAGCAGAGAGGTAGCTGGGTTGCGTGGGTTCAGTTCAGTCAGGGGGCTCCTGCTTCCTCCCACAATCCAAAGACACGCTGATTGGGGTTCAGTTAATTGGAGAATCTAAATTGGCCGTGAAGTTGTGTCATGACGTCAAACCCGGGTCACCCTTAGTCACATCAGTGAATCTCAGTCTTCTGAAATATCACCTGAAGTGAGAAGGAAAGACGATGAACGGCACCGTGCACGTTTCAGTCGCACCATGAGAAATCCACGGTCCCCGCTCGGGGCCAAACTGCTCACCTTCACACACCTGTCCCCCTCGGGGCCCCTCCCGGGTGGAGAGACGTGACTATTTTCTCAGGGCAAAGTATGAAGCTGCAGGGGGTGGATGTGTTGTGCAACCTGAGTTTCCATGTTATCTGGTTCCTTTGACGTGTAGACTTTTCTTTCGAGGTAAATTCTGGAAACCTTCAATTATTTTTAATTTCCAGTTGAGGTGATTGTATCTGAAGTACTTATGTGTTTGGACATGATTCCTCGCTCAAGCAATAACCTCCAGTGTAATCGACATAATACTTTGTACTTGTAGGGGTTTCCATAGTAACATAATGGTAAAATAATAATAATAAAACTTGTTGGCTGTTTGGGCTTCGATCCACGAGGCAAAAGTGTGAGCAGTAATTCTCCAGAGACTAAAAACCTTTATCTATGACTTACTTTGTTTACAAGCCAAGGGTCGATGCATGTTCCCAAACAGCCAGTGCAGCTTCCTCCAAAACATCAAATCTGTCGCAGCCTCTCGTTCGCATGGATCATTTTAAATAGTGTTTGTCTCCTGCTCTGCAACAGTTAAACAGTGTGACTGAGCCGGAGGGGTTTGCTGAGAAGGATTTTAAAACCACCTTACACATTGTTAAAAACAGCCAGAGCACAATCAATCAATCACATTTTATTTGTTTAGGCCACATTCACCGATTATAATTTGCCTCAAGGTCTCAACAATCTGTATGAGGTGTGACATCATCTGTTCTCAACCCTCGACAAGAATGAGGAAAAACCTCAAGTCCAAAGTGAAGCTCTCAGGGCAAAGGGAAATAGAATAAAGAGGTTTAACGATGTTTAAACCGTTTATACAAAATCAAACAGGATAGAACAGGATGAACATTCTGGATTTGCTGAAAATTAAAGAGCTTTTTCAAAGGTTTTTTTTTTTTAACTGTCAATTAACCCTGAACCCTTATTACAACACAAACTCTGCTCAGTTCAATGGTCGCACACATCATCTCACTTTCTTTCTGTCGCCTGCTTTCAGCCGTGCACTGAACTCCAAAGGTGGAGAGGGAGACAGAGAACCTCCCGCTGCAGGTAAAGTCCAACTTCAACTCTTCTGGACTTTCCCCTCAGGTCAAGAGAGAACTTCTGTTGCAGTAATGTTAGATTTATTTGCTCACACACACGTACGAGGACACACAAAGGGGGATGCAGAGAGGTGCAGCGAAGACTCAAAGATCCCGTTCCCTCTCTCCGGGCTCTGCCAGTTTCAGTCAGTGTGGTCTAACATTTCGGCCCAGCTCTAGTGTCTGCAGAAGTATTTCCTCGTATTTACCCTGAATTCCTCAACATTCCTGTCGTGCCTGTTTGTAAACCTGCTGCTCAGCTTCTCTCCGGTCCAGACTGACTTCTGAATACCCTGAACGCCCCACGTTAGTGTCAGCCCGGGTTCAACTCCCCCTGAATGAGTTTAAGATTATTTCAAAGACTCAAGTCAAAGAGTTAAATGTTGTATTAAGTGATGTAAAGATGGCGGCAGAGTGTGTGTGTGTGTGTGTGTGTGTGTGTGTGTGTGCAGGTATGTGGGTCAAGGTGAGCGGGTGGATGGGACTGCCATGTGTGTCAGATAGCAGCGGACAGATGCCCTAAAAGCCTTTTCATGTGCGAGCGACAGATTAGGTTTGTTGTTTTATGAAGGCGTGCAGGGAGAGGCCTGATAGTGAGTCTGCTAACTACACACAAACACACACTGTTAGAGACGTGTTAGAGGAGGAGGAGCTTTGCTTCATCGAGACTTTGTTGTATTTTGAAATCGACAGGATTTTAATCTTTTATTATGTTTTTACTTGTTCCATGTGCGACTGACTCATACAGATTTATATCAGAGTTTATGGACAGAGCAGAAAAACTACAAAAACAAATTTTCAACCCTGACGAATATGTGAGAACCACAGTAAAGTTGTGCATCATAGAGAAATATTCATCAAACACAGAGGTTTTATTTACGTTGTGTTTTAAAGTGATTTCACATGATAGAAAACATTTCATTAAATACAGTTCTGTGGAAATCTAATTAAAAATAAATGAAGTCGCTCATTTCTTTTTTGTATATTAGTTGTGAGTGTGTAAGATATTGTCAGTCTGTGTGTGTTGTGTTCACAGGTTCAGTCGTCTTCAGCAGGCAGCCATGTTGTTCTGATCCGTTTCTGTTTCACCAGAGCGAAGGAAAAGCACTGAAGTAAAGGAAGTATTAAAACCTGACGTCCTGTAACGAGTCCACATCAACAACCGGGATTCTGACAAAAACCTTTTAAATTGACAGCAACAGAAAATGAGCTAATAAATAAACTGTAAAATAGATAAAAGTGTCTTAACTTTCTGTGAGGCTTTCAACTCTGCTTCCAAGAGAAGAAGAGGGAAACTTTATTTATTCTAGGCCACAGAGCAGAGTGTGTGTGTGTGTGTGTGTGTGTGTGTGTGTGTGT